TTTCTTATTCCTGACGTACCTATTTCATGTCTTTGCCTATCAATTGCATTCCTGTTCCAGTCTTCTGGGACCATGGTGGACCAAACTCACTGTGCTCCTCCTCCACAGAAAGCTGCGAAGGCTCTGCGCTGGGTGGAGGACGAGACCATCTGCCTGCACAGGTACCTGCTCCCTGCCTGAGCCCTCTGGACCTCAGCTGTACATCAACATCTAAATCCTCTTACAAGCACCCCCGACATCTGCGCTCCAAGCTCGCTCATGACACAAAATACACGTTAGCTGAAAACATTTATCTAATCACTTTCCTTAGGGAAGTATTTCCCGAATATCTTCCTACCAATTACATTGACATTACCTCTGCTGCTCTTAGCAATCAGAAGCTTTCGGTTTGTTAGTTGTTTTTTTTTTTCTTTTTCCTTTTTTCTTTGGTCATGAAATCTAAAAATGGGCTGTTAGCACTTTATGGGATATTTTAATTAAAAAGAATTGTATCATTTGTGTCCTTGTGGGGTATAGCTGTTATTAAATCAATTTTGTTGTTGTTGAGTTAGACTTATGTAAAGGTAGGATATTGAATTTCTAAACTAATTTTACAGGCAAGAAGTCTAGTCCCAGGTTTAATGGAAACTTTGGACCGCATACACACAGGTGGTTTAATTTCCTTAATTCTATCCAAATACCCAATCAACTTAATCTAACAGCACTGTAATTTTCAGGTATCGGAAAACAGGCATTTATTTCACTTACCACTGCAAAATTTTGGTACTAGGTTTGTAGGAAGCATGTTGTGTTACTCCCCAGTGAGTGAATCCCCAACACTTGTCACTCACCTACCTCCTTGAAGCCAGGCTCCTTCTCCACTTTCATGTATGAAATACAACAGACAGAAGCTTAACTAAATCCTTTTTTTTCTTTTTCAAAGCTCCAGGCACCTTGGAAGTTGTGACTCTCCTTAGCCACATCCCACAGGCTCCCCATTCTCTGAAGCACTCTTGAAATTGTTCAAAGGAAAAAGGAGTGGTCTTAACGGTAGCGAAAGATGTTTTGAAGAAGATGCACCAGTAATCAATACCAGTGAGGTTTTTCCTTCCCCAGAGACAACCAACTTGACAGCAGGAGTTACTTGGAAGTAGATATAAAATGCTAGGACCACTGCGGCTTGCCTACGTGCATGCAGGCTGTGCAAAAGAAACTGGTATTCAGTCTCTTTGGGCCAGTCTTCCTCTTGGTTCAGCTTCTTCAGTAACATCTAATAAACCTGCAAGGAGGGATACTAGGTTACACCTTGCATCTTCTGCGTTTTATTAAAGGAGCCAACACTCAACACTCCCAAGTTTCCATGGAGAATCTTTGGCTTCAGATCAAATACAACCTCTTCTGTCTTAAAAGGCACAATTTCTCAACTAAATGAACCTAACTGACTCCATACTCAAAGTAAGTGCCAGAGCTGAGAGAACAGAGACAACCACTTTCATTTTCAGACATATGCCCAAACTATAGGAACAATGAGCAGTTGGTTATAGCAAATCATAGCAGGCGGTGATCAAACCAGGTCATAAATAATTCTGTCCTCACTGCAAAAAGATTAAAAAAAAAGAATTTAAAAATAATCAGCCTTTCTTTGTACGCAACAATCTGGACAAAATATTCCAATTGACATGCAGTTACTCCCAATTTCATAATATAATTGAAATTTCAATATAACCTACAGGTTTCATAGATTTTGCGAGTCCTAACAGCAGAAAAAGGAGAGAGGAAATCAAGAAGGTAGAGGAGCTCTAGCAAGCAGTAAATGGATATGCTGGTTCCCTGGCTTCCCACAAATGAATAGGCCCAGTCTAGGAAGTGTCATATTTTAAGGACAGGTGAATCAAACAGTAATTTTTCAGACCTAAAATGTCATCACAGTGCTTAACAATGGATAAGCTACAAAAAAATCTACACTTTTCATGCCATTTCTGCGCGATGTGTACCAATTCTTGATCAATACTATAGATTACACAGGCTAATTAATAAGTGATTGCCATTAGTTATATATGTAGAATCTGATAGATAACTATTCAGTTGTGCTGTAAAGTGGAAGAAATATTTGACAGGTTTGGAAGAGTAGAGATTCCCCTTGCACCAAATTCTTTAGTCTAGCTAGAATCAGAGGCTGCATCTGCAAATACTTTTGCAATATCTGAATTTAACTCATACATAAAAATTTCAATAAAACCAATTAATCTGGGTCCGATGCTCACCCTCATATACACATCTATATAAAAATACCTCTATTTGTAGGACAGTGGGAGAAATGTTAAAAACATTAAAAGCACACCACATTTCCACGCAGTTAACCCGCACTGGAGGTAACACACTCTTAAACATACCAGTCCTGGCAAAAGCATTCTTACGGAAGTCATATCCTCATGCCACCTTCATATTCTTTCTGGTAAATTGATCAAAATTGGAGGTGATGCTGGGGTAGAAAGAGTAGGGAACGGGGGCCCGAAACAGAGAGCTATGGGGAAAGGAGGAGACAGGGTGTGGGTTCCAGAGATCCGGGATAACATATTTCCTGAGCACATGTGTAATCCTATGGCTGAGACACAGGCCTTGCTTGTTTGCTTTTGCAGGTAACCAAAGGCTATCTATGTGAAAGACAGTAAATACGAGCATGTAGTGGCCGTCTCGCAGAGAAACAGCCAGCGCATGTTGAGAAGAATTAGCCTTTTCACTTCGCCTCCGCACGCCACGTCCACGGGGTACTCTCAGCGTCTGCACCCAGCTTGTGGCTTCTTCGTGTGCATTTGGCTCAAATCAGGGAAAAGCTCTCGCTGAATTCAACTGGATTAGGACCTCATTTATCATGTTTGGTTAGGAACAGCATCGGTATCGTCAGGTGAGCTTTTATTAACTAAGGGGTGTAATTTATAAAATCACAATCTAGAAGTCCCAGCCAATAGAAGACTTTAAAACATTGCTCCTCTATAGAAAACAGGATTTGCAAAACCTTGTTTGAATTCATCTCTTACTTTTTTTGTTGCTTTGTATGGTCTTATTGTAGTGCACATAGTAGCCTCCATACATACATACCATACCTATACTATACATATACTCCATATGCACTATAAATACCACAAAGCCAAGCCACACTTTGTGGTGACACTGGGACCCAAACAAGATATCATTGCACATTAAAACTGTATTAAACTAATTGAAAAATAGTTAAACATTGCTAATAAAACAAGATAAATACTAAACATTGAAAGACAGAGACTTTCCAGTGTTCCATGAAACCACACCTTTCAGACAAATTAATTATTTGCATCATAAAAAAATGCTAACTGTGAAAGCAAATATTCCAGAAGAAAGTAATGAGTAAAAAGCCTCAGGTGATTTTTGATTACATTAAAAACAATTCCCATTCTTCATAAAATGTGCAGAACTTTGCATCTTAAATAGTACAGTTACCTTCAAAAAATTACTTTCTTTTTAATCTTGCAAGAAATGAAACCTTAATTGGGTAGGAAAGTATCTGGAAGATATCCAGAAAGAAAAAAAAAAAATACAGCTATTCTCCTGTAAGTGGCACAGCATCTGTCAAGAGTTTTCACATACCTTCAGGAAGATACCTCAAATTAAGTCAACATTGTACTTGATTTCAGTGATCAGAGTTAATATTCTGCACACCCAAACTGGCTGCCTTGTTTATTTCATAGTTTCAATTGCTATTGCTGTAATTCACCCTGGCAAATACATGGATGTATGAGGGGCTCGCCCTCTGAATAAATAATAAAATTTAACTTGTCAGGAACTTCCTTTGCCTTGAATGAAAAACGTTTCATTTCTTTGTGATGCTGTTGAAGCTAAATCCTGTTGCAAGAGACTTAATGAGCAGCCCTGGAATAAAAACTAATGGCGTGTTCCAGCTACGTGGCCACCTTGATGAACGTTAGAATTACATCTGAGACCAGATGGAAAAAAAAAGGAAGATGCACTATACAAAATATGTCTTCATTTGAGGAGTGAAATATTACTCAGTGGCATTATACATTGTTAATAAATTTTCTTTATCTGAAACTATAATTTAATATTTATGTATCTAATTTACATGTGACAAAGTAGCATATTCTAAAATTAGAGTGTAACCAGCAAACTATTAACTACTATAAACAATACCAAAACAGAATTCCAACATATTTTAAGGAAACAATAGATACATTTTGGACTGGGGAAAGATTTCAATTGCAGATATTGTTTTAAATACAGCTGTTAATTATGTCTTGAAAAAAATTCTTCAAGCTCAGGAAGATTTTCTGCTTAGGGAGTCCTGGGTATATACATAAAGACCAAGAGTACACTACCAAAAAGTCCCTTATTGGTTACTAGTAGGTACAGTAATAATAGTAAATGCTGAAATTGGGGAAAAAACTCATTTTCAATATCAATGTTATATGATGCACTCGACAATATATCCCCTTTGAGCAGAAACTAGAGAAAATATCGTGCCCTTTATTATCTCTGTGGTTTCTTATGTGTAATAGACAGCGAAAGAATTGCACTTATTGTAACATTACAGTAAAGTGTTAGATTGCAGCTCACCTTTTAAAATATTAGTGGCCATAATACTTATGATAGGTTGTGCATTATGCAAAGATGAATAAAGATGTGCATTTAAATTAAAAAACGAGCAACCACTTACAGAACCAACAGTGAGGCTTAACATAACAAACATGCACTAACCCTACACTTATGCAAAACTAAGTTCTTCCAGGAAACTGCAACCAACTGTTGACCTTCCATAAAGGTAAAGGTTTTGTCCCTTGGTAATATGTTTGGACTTTGTAGTCGAATTCCAGTTTATTAGCTCATTGTCTGTAAATGTGCTGTTCCACTGTGATATCCTTTAGCTGCCCTTGAGCTTCTGCAGAATCTGCAATCTTACAGTCACTTTTATTTAAGGTTTTATTGAGCCGCAGAGTAAGTCCCCTTCAGTACTACACAAATAGGCTTCCTTATTCATCCTCTTCAGGTTCCTGTGGTAAAATTGGTGTCTCCTCCTTTAAGCAAGCACTAAAAAACCCCAGGATTGTGCTGTAAAGGTGATATTTGCTTTTCTCAGAAGCAATGTTATGACCTTCATCCGGGTAGATCTAGCACAGGAGAAAGGAAAAAAGCAAATAGTTTTTTAAAAGCTTTTCAAATATTTAGGGCTCTAATTTTCTTTCTCTGATCTTCAAAATGTTTTAGATGACAACAGGATGATAACATTAGTTTTATGGCATCAAGGAAAGCTAATAAAACTCAAAGTAAAACTCATTCTCTTGGAGTTTGAACTTACATAAAACAACCACTGCAGTGGGATCTGCAGAAGTGAAAAAATTTATATTCTCAGTCACTGTGATTACAACAGTTTACTTAGCTGGCATTTTCAATAGTGCCTAGGCATCCAAATCCCATTAACGTCAATGAGGATTAATTACCTCATGCTTTTAGGGACCTCTCAATATCCCAGCTTCTAAGTGTTCAGCGAATAACCTTTTTATTCATATTTTTAACTATCTTCCTATCTTCTCTAAAGCCCATCATCTCTCTCTCTTCTAGGGTGGATGTGGGCATTTTTATCTCCTAATTCAAATTCCACTGGAAATTTCTCCCAAGTGAGGCTGAACACAAATTTGCAGGGTGAATGAAGAAATCCAGGCCACACGGTTTAGGACAAGAGACTTAAGGTGGCCTGAGGCAAAAAGCTTCAGCTGCTTCCTCAAACTCAGGTTATCGCAAGGTTGCACAAGAATGGTTCAACAG